CACGTAGACCCACACAAATAATTAAAAAAACTACAGAACAATATATAAATTAACGATTAACTCATTGATCAAATTGAAAAACATCAGTTATAGCGCCTATTGTTAGGAACGTTTTATATACACCGAATATGTTGACACCTTTTCTCATTGTTAGTAGTTATTTCATAATCCAAATGATACAAACAGTTTACAAACAGCTGTCGCTGTGTGTGATTTACTACTCATGTCTATTTTTCGTGAAACATTTAAGCCGAAATATTGCAAAAGTTCGCGTCCGTTTTTTTGCAAAAATCTTTAGTAAAATTTCCGTGTCTTGCGTAACATCACACCCATCAACAACTGTTTTGTACAGAAATAAAAATTTTGCAAAGTAACGCAAGAAAATGTCATCGTTTTTGATGTATAAAATATCATTGTGTATGATTACAATAATAAAGTTTTATGCGATGTTTCTCAAACAGTCATCGGACAGGTTCATCGAACCCGTCCACAGGCAACTCTCACGGTTCATCGGAGACCTGTGAGCAGCAGATCGGTCTTCTTTAAGCTAAGAAGGTCACTTAGAAAAATCTGTAAAATTTCAGCGGAAAAGGACTACTTATATAAATATATGACTGTACATGATATTCCGCTTTTTTCAAATTATACACTAGTTATGATGTTGATGACTCACTACAATGAGTCATCGCTTTTTTTGCATTGTTCAACCTCATGATCGAGTTTAGACCGAATCGATACGTGACACTTTGGAAATAATCATGAAAAGTGTTAAATTAGAGAAATTGTGAGGGATGATGGTTTTTTTTCTAATTTCTTCTAATTTGTCTTCATATAACGATAGAGCCAAATTTATATGCGCATCTAATCCAATTCTGTTTCTATAACATGTGTTAATTAAGATTTATATTTAGCGGTTAATGGCAATTAAGCAAAGTCAGTGGTCGTTGAATTTAAAACTGCTGTAAAAATACTGAGGTTAGATCATTTCATGTTTTAGAATTGATGAATGTATCAGTAACATTCGATCAACTACTTAAGTACTGCCAAGTAGTTGATGTTTACTTGATATTACTGTTGGTGTTGTTGACAAAACCTAATCAAAAGTAGTTTAGAATCGAAACTACTTTTGTACTAATTTTACCTTTTAATTACTTTACTAGATAAAGTAAGTGAGTTTAAAAATAGTTGATTCACATATGAAAACGCGGTTAACCATTTTATTTATCTTTCTGATCTATGTATGCTTACTATTGAAAAAAAGTAAAAGTTCGTTACTTGTAGTTGCTAAAAACTATTATTATCTACACCATGAAGCTATAATATAGAGTATATTTATATATATTTTTTTATTCCAAGCTCACTGTTCTCACACATTTTTAATAATAGAAGAAAGAAGATTTTTCTTAAATAACAACTAAAATATAGCTAATAAAGTTAAATTGAATAACTTGTATTCAGCTGTATGCAATTTTATTTATCGTCCAACAATTCCTGATCGCCAAAATCCGTTTGCTAATGTATTCTGAAATGCAGCATGATCTTCATAGCTACTATCTTTTTTTGCAAATAACCAAAACTTATTAAGATTTCCTCGTTTACCTCGAAGATATTCCAACGGACGACCATTTTTATTTGCCCAACTAAAATATTCGGATGAATCTGTTGCTCTCGCTCCCACTTGTGGTACATGAACACCATTTCGCAGTGATGGTAATATTTTACGTTGGAAACGATGATCTTGTAAATGATGATTAAAATATGGGTGATTTTTGTCAAAATGAATTCGTGGCAAAAGATTATTATGGATAGAGAATTGTTGTCCTTGATCATCATTAGCACGATATATATTCGCTGTATAAGAACATTCTAAACAGAAATTGACGACATCGAAAACTGGCTGGACTCTATTGTCGGAAAGTAGCATAATGATTGAAATCTACTGTGCTCATACTGTGGGGGAAAAATACTGAGAGACCAGAATTTGTCAGCTTTTTCAATTAACAATCTAAAGAAGATTTTCACAAGAATGTGGATTCTTAAGGAGTGAAAGGGTAAGTTTTTCTGCTCATTAATATGACCTGAAGGTG